TTTGGGCCCCCCGGTGGGGGGGGGGGGGGGCGGTCAGCACCCTGCCCCAGGCTGAAATTTTGTCTCAATTTCTGGCATGACTGGAGTCCCCTCCATCACGGTCCCCCTTTCTCCCTACACATGTTAACGTTGTCTTTTCCCTGTAATAAGGAATGTGGATGATGACAGAGGTGGTTTCCTATTGCGTAGGGAGGACCCAGTGTAGCTGCTCTCAGACTTCTTTGAAAATGGAAACTAAAAAAAAAAGAAAAAATAAAATCACTATGTTCTTTTTTTGGGACCAAATTAGAGGTATCCAGGTCGCACTGAAACAGAGAAACAGAAGACACAGCTCCGCTTGCTCCTCTTGGAGCCAAAGGAGGCCACCAGACCTTGACGGGGTGAGATGCTGTGACTCAGAGATGGCAGGGGCGAGGGGCTCACAGCCCTGTCCCCCTGCTCCATCCCATCCCCATGCCAGCCCCCGCTGTGCCTGCTGCTTCACGTGGGGGCTTGACTTTGCAGCTCCTTGTCAAGCGACTTGGGCAAATACTTCGAAAGTCAGATGTCCTTATTCTATTTAAGCAACAAACTTAATCTGATATATTTATATCTGTAACAGTTTGGAGGGGTGGTGTTTGTTTGTTTGGGTTTTTTTTTCTCCCAAGATGATCCCTGGTGTTTTTCCCACAGGGTGTCTCTCTATGATTGCTCTTGTTACTTAGCGGTTGTTATTGTTAAGAACCCATCATCTGACCCTTTATAATCCCCCTATTGCATTACACTGCACTGCTGAACATGCTTGGTGTATGCTACTGTTTGTCAATTTTAGACTGCCCCATCAAGCCTACGAGTTTCTTAAAAGCGATGCAAGGTTATATTACACAGGCACATTCTCCGACTCGTTCCAGTTAATGCCTTGGCACTTGGAAATGCCATGGATTGGTAGTAGAGAGAAATAAATGTGTGGGGTTTATAAGCAAAAAAAAAAAAAGAAAGCCAACATTATGGAAATTGCTCTCAAGCATTTGGCGTCACCATGTGTCCCATCAATTACCTTAAAAATAGAACACGTTTTAGGCACTTGAAGCATGGTGTGATGGCCTGCTTCGCGTCAAATGGAGACACAGGGGTCGGCCCCTCTTGATGTTCAAGTTAAAAACTTGTCAACCCTTTTGCTTTCAAGAGAGAGAGGTTGGATGTTTTGAAGAAAACGCACAAATGAGAAAAAGCAATGAAGTGAAACAAGCCTGCCCAAGAGCCTGCTGGGTTTCACGCAAGAGTTCATCCATACGCAAGTACCTGGCTTAGAAACACTAGCGGTAAGTACGAACTGTTGATTACCAAGGGCAAACCTTTTCTTCTACCAGTTTGCTCCCGAAGTGCCTTTATTTAACACTTGTTAGGCACCTACTTAGCGTGAATTTTGAGCTGCTACCCATAGGGATCGTTTTGTGATCACTGTGGGTACCTCTTGTCTTCTGATTCTGCTCCGAGCACAGCTGCTGGCACGGCTCCCTGCCGGTTGGTAACGGAGCACCTCGTGCAGCAGTTTATTAGTCCGGGGATTCCTGAGCAAGCGTCAAATTGGTGTAAAAATAGCAAGGGCTACCAACGGAACTGGCTTTCCTTCTTAATGAAGGTTGAGGAATGAGTGATTATTTTGGAAAGCTCCAAAGGAAATACCCCCAAATATTATTGGGAAGAAGATGGGAGTTCTGCCTTGGAAAAGACCTCTAGATTTGGCCGTGAGTGTGTTCCCAGCCTGGAGGGTGGTGCTTGTTGCCTTAACGTGCCGTTCCCAGCGCACCGAAACGCTAAGCGACATATTAGAAAAGGAAGTGAATCCTGAACTCAAGGTGATTTATGGAGGAGAGACCTAAAGTAGGCAAAATGTGATACCCACCTTGGAAATCTGTGGGATTAGCACCCGTGCCACCAGGAGGGGTGTCACCAGGCAGCCCTTCGCTCTGCCTCTGACGGAGAAGGTATCGCTCCCAGAAATATAGTGTTTCCTAATCGTGGTATCGACAAATGATAGATTTCTACTTAGAAGAAAACCTGCTTTTCAAATACTTGCTAGTGTTCTCAGTACCCCTCTTTTTTTTCTAGAGAAGACTTCGTGGATTTGACCCTACTTAACTTAGCAGATCTGACAAGACCATGGCCCAAGATGGCCTGGCTGAAGATCATGGAAATACAAGAAGGTGGCCAAGGGCTTTATTTACAGGCAAGAAATTCACAGGCGATAAGGAACCACTGAATAGACAGCTTCTGTGACCCAAACAGCATCGTTTGGGAGAATAACATACCAGCTACCGAAGAGCATTGATTTATTTGATAACATCAGGAAACCATTTATGGACTCTATTATGGACAGCAATTGCTGGGGATTGAAACTGCTAGACCAGATAGATTGATGTGTGGGTCTGCTGTTGTGCTTGCTACTGCATAATATAAAATAAGGATGTCCCCTGAAATACCAAGGGGGCAAATGAAGCCGTTGCGTTCCTTGGCTTGGGTTTTTGTTGGGTTTTTTTCCTTTACCACCACTTTCGTTCTCAAATCTTTGACCTCTTCCCTCCTGTGTAACAGCGTTAATTAAATGAGGACCTTTGGACAATGGCTCTTTAATAGAGGTTAACAGGGCTTTGAATACCACAGCAAAGGGAGACCATCATCACGCAGAGACTATTTTGCTGCTGGTAGATTCCAGCAGAGCGTGGTTGAGACTGGAACGAGAAATATGGCTTGAAAATCGGTGGGGCTTGGTTTCACAGCCTCTCGTCTGAGGTTTCTTTCCTATGAAAGATTCATTCACAGTTGCAAGGTGAGGATTTGATTTGATTCCCCCTGCAAAGTATATTTGCAATTATGAGAGGGAATCTTCCTAATCCAATGGACAGTCCAAACTGCAGTGGAGTAGCCCATGCTACTCTGTTTTTCCAAAGCATCCATGAGCACAGTGGTGTTGGACATGTGGTTTTCTGGTTTGCTGTGTAAATTTAGAAGCCTATAAAATATTTTGAACAAAGAAGGCGGCACTTCTTACCTGGAATAGACACTTAATGGAAAAAAAAGGACTTCAGGTAATCTTCTATCGTTACATCGGTTCTATGAATATTAGCAAAGTAAATCTTTGTAGTTGCTTATTAATTCTGTGGAAAAAAAAGGTAAAAAGTAGGAGAAGGCTGTACCTGACATGAACTGTCAGCCAAGATCTGTTGACAGTGCGAATAAAGTCCACGATAGAGACAGGCCAGTCAAGAAACAGGGCATTGGCATTGCCCCTGGGCAGACTGGGCAGGAGCCGGGCATGGATGTGCTGTGGGAAATGCTGTGGGGAAATGCTCCCTATGGAACCGCTCAGGCTGATTCAAGGGGCTGGTGTCCATCCCCACAAGGACCCCTGCCCCCAAGCACAGGGTGTGTGTTGTACCAACTGTTCGCCTGCCATTTTTCCATCTTGGAGGATTTTACCTTAACCAGGATCTAGCGTTTGGGAGAGCTCATCAACTGCGCGACGGCTGCCCTCATGCCAAAACCACCTGCGATATTCTGTCAGGGTTTAGACCCAGCTAAAGGCAGCGAAGAGCCCGCAGTCCCCAGCCCTTTTGAGATATCCAAGATATTATGGAGACAGAGACGTTGTGCGGATCCTTCCCACGGTGCAGAATTTCACCCGCACACCTCGCAGGTACCACTAATGTCACTCCAGCCGCCTGCGGTGATTCAAGCGCGGGCCGAAGCACTGGAAGGCGCAGTGCCCCAGGAATCCTCTAGAAAACGGCCATCTCCCGCCTCACTCAATGGGGGACGCACCAGCTGCACTGAAATGTCAGAAGGGTTTGCACAGCTGACGGGTTGCTGAAAATGGAGCATGGCAGCATCACCATAAATTCTCTTTATCCAGCCAAGTGCAGCTTAATATAGACTTAGCTGCACGGTCTGTCTCCCGCACTGAGACCGAGAGCTGCCACAGCTCATGACCAAAACATGAAGTTGTCGATCTAACCGAGTGAACTGCGGTTAGTGAGGAAAAAAAAAAACCCGAACCAAAACCAAACCCAACCTTTGAAATTTATCTTTCTCTTTAGGTTTAAAAAGCAATAGAGGAAGGAGGGAAGGAAGAAAATGTCTGAACTCGGCCAAAATTCTGACGAAGAAGTGTGTCCTGAGGACATCGATGAAGATGAAATCCTGGCAAACCTGTCCCCAGAGGAGCTAAAGGAGCTGCAGTGTGAGATGGAAGTCATGGCCCCAGACCCCGAAGTCCCAACTGGGATGATACAGCGGGATCAGACAGAGAAACCCCCCACGGGGAGCTTCGACCACAGGTCCCTGGTTGACTACCTGTACTGGCAGAAGGCATCCCGACGCATGCTCGAGGACGAGAGAGTTCCCGTCACCCTCTTGCCCTCTGAGGTAACAAGAAAAAATCACAAATATTTATTATGCATCTGCTGTGGGATCTGTTTTATAGCTTTAATACCTTAACCTGCCTCTGCTTCCGTCCCTTACATAAGATACGGTACAAACAAATTTAAATTCATCCTAAAAGCCTCGGCAACGTCGGGACCTAGCTTGGACTGACGTCAGGGTTAGTAATTTTTTAATTGCTTTTCCTAAATACTTACTTAAGCTTTTTAATATAAGAAAATCCCAATTCTGCTTCAGTAAAGCAAATCATTGCCAAATTGTCATTAAATCAATTCAGAGGATGCAACTCAAATTTGTTTGACTTTGCCTATGGAACAACACCATATTGTTTTTCCATAACAGACTACATTAATTGTACGTATTTAATTAATTGACAGAATTTAACATTGTACTGGACAAAAACCCAAACCACTGCATTTTAACAATGCGAAACATTCACTAATGCCCCGGCATGCAGACTCCATGAACTAGTCCGACCCTTTTCAGTACAGTACTTAAATTTATTCTACCATCCCTATGAGTTTGAAATACAGTTACGGTCACACTTAGATATTTTTCAGGATGAGGGCCACACTTAAAATTAGGTTAACAGAATGGAAATTTGCCCAGGTGAAACACATCCATTCCTGAACCCAAGTGAATTTGAGGTAACTGATTTTTTTTTTTATTTTTTTTTTTAAACACTAATGCTTTTGCTAATACACAGTAACAGCACAGTACCTCATGGGCTTCCCAGGGCAGGTTTCATGGCCTGCCCCTGGAGAGGGGGGGAAATCTGTGGGATTTTTCCCTCCTGCAACGTTCTTACCCTCAAAGAAACAATCTTTTTTAACAATTCTGAGGTTAAATCTGGAATTTGAGCGTAGGGCTGTCTGCCGCATTCATCGGGCCATCCCCGTACTAAACCCATCCACTACCACAGCATGTAGGAACCACAGCCCCAAGGGCAGAAGTGACTTTGTGACCGTTTTGTCTGGCTTTTGGCGAAGCACAAGCTGTGACGCTGCCCTGCCTGAACTAGTGCAAACCTTTTAGGACAATATCTTGATCTTTATCAGAACTTTATCAGCATTTCTCAGTGATGGAGGATCCCCTGCAAAAAGATACTTGAAAAAAAAATCTCAGCTAGGAGGGTCTCTGGAGATGGTGGAAGTTTGCAACTGGTTTTATTTTGCTGCTAGAAGCCCCACTGCCTTGCCAACATATGTGTGCAGAGTCCAGTTTCCTACCTTTGGACTCAAAATAAAACTGAGCTAGTGTTTTGCCTTGCCTTCACTGACGAGCTGCTTTAGCTGGGATGCTCTGGCAGGTTCCAGCACATCCAGGCAGCCTCGTGGTCTCCTGTGCTGGGTGACTGTGTGGTTGTTGCCGTGTGCCCTCTTCACTCCTCCCTGGGCTGAGCACGCGGTCAGTGGTTAACACAGACTTCCAGTGGTTTGCTACATATGAAATAAACTTTCTTGTTTGTCAAGGAAATGATAAAAATGACACAAAATCCAGAAGCAGACTTTGGATCAGAGACTGTTAACCCCCAGAAGGGTTCAAGGAATCACCTTAACATAGCATTAAATATGTACAGGATTTAATTGGCAGTATTAATTTAATGGGCAAAGATGAGAAACTGGTTTGCAGCCACTTTAAGAGCAATTGTTCCTGTATTCCCAAGCAAGCCAGCACAGCCCCAACGTACAGGCAATGACACTTTTAAGGATTAATCTATAACGCATGGGCATAGAGGTATCTAAACCCAGCTGCTACGTTGTTCGTTTGAGCAGGAATTTAATGTAACAAAGCCGTGTTCAATTATTTCAGCTGTGAGGTTTTGTCTTCCTCAGAGAAGCGCTGCGGAGGAGACAGCAGGGAAGGGCGGCAGCGGCGGCGAGGCGGCCAGCGGGAGGGCGCCAGGAGCAGAGGGAAAAGAGAGACATTACAAAAATGAGCACTTGTCCAACTCGGGAATGCAATTTGGGGAGACAGACAGAGGTGGAAGTGATAAAGGGAGAGAGGAGGAGGAGGAGGAAGATGAAACAGAGGAGGAAGAGGAAGATGATGACGAAGAGGAGGAAGAGGAAGATGAGACTGAATTGGAAACAAAGGAGACTTACACCAACGAGAACCGTCACAGTGATCAGATAAGCAAGAAACCAGGTGCAGAATCAGGAGAAACCATAGAAAAGCCAAACGAAAATGAAAAGAAAGTGTCAAAATTAAACATCCCCAAAAAGTTAGCACTGGATACCAGCTTCATGAAGCTAAGCGCCAGGCCGTCAGGAAATCAAACCAATTTAGAAGACAGTTTGGAGAAAGTCCGAAAAAACAACCCGGATGTGAAAGAGCTCAACCTGAACAACATAGAAAACATCCCCAAAGAAATGCTGATAGACTTTGTCAATGCCATGAAAAAGAATAAGAACATAAAAACGTTCAGCTTGGCCAACGTGGGGGCCGACGACAACGTGGCGTTCGCGCTGGCTAACATGCTGCGGGAGAACAGGAGCATCACCACGTTGAACATCGATTCCAACTGCATCTCTGGCAAAGGGATCGTCGCTATCATGAGGTGCCTGCAGTACAACGAGACGCTGACGGAGCTCCGCTTTCACAACCAGCGGAGCATGCTGGGCCACCAGGCAGAAATGGAGATCGCCAGGCTGCTGAAAGCCAACCCCACCCTCCTTAAAATGGGGTACCACTTCGAACTGCCGGGGCCCAGGATGGTGGTCACCAACCTGCTCAGCAGAAACCTGGACAAGCAGAGGCAAAAGAGGCAAGAGGAGCAGAGGCAGCAGCAAATGAAAGAGCAGCGAGAGTTGATAGCGATGCTGGAGAATGGACTTGGGTTGCCTCCCGGGATGTGGGAAATGCTGGGGGGACCGCTGCCCCAGCCGAGGATGCACGAACCCCCGCAAGCCCCGAAACCGCCTGTCCCCGCGGCTGTGTCTCTGAGCAAAAGGCAGGAGCGCGCGAGGCAGCCGGCCCCCGAGCAGCCGCACAGAGAGGAGCCCGTCAGCTTCAGAGTGGTCAAGCTGAAGAAGATTCAACGCAAACCCGCCGTGCCGGAGTACGTGGAACCCGCCGAGAAAACCAACCTCAGAGACGTCATCAAAACGCTTAAACCTGTTCCCAGGAGGAGGCCGCCTCCCCTCGTCGAAATAACCCCCAGAGATCAGCTACTAAACGACATTCGTCAGAGCAACGTCGCTTATCTTAAACCGGTAAGTGCTTAGCGATGGCGGCGAGGGGAGGGCATCGCGTTCACCCAGCACGCTTGGAGCTGCCATTTGAAGGGTTAGCTGTTCGGCGGGGCTCGCAAACGCACCCGCGTGATGGTCATCCTCGTCCTTTTGCATCAGGCTGCCGTTCCCGGGACGCAGGCAGTGGTTTCCCCTGGCAGCACTAAGGTACGGCTCGCACAGAGAAATGACAGCGAGCGCCGAGGCTGCAGCCTCGCACATCCCTGTTGGCATCCATACAGGTGAAAGAAAGGAAATTCTCTCAGGAGGTGAAGAAAACCACAGAAACACAACGTTAACATACTAGTAATGGCGTATTACTTATGACAGGTAAATGCTATTATAAGATGTTTGCTTCAGGAGAGCAAGAGGTATTATTTTTCACATTAGTCTGCCCTCAGTCCCCCATAAAATGTAGGTTTCTCTTGCCAAGCAGCCCTGTTTTTCTTTAGTTCTCACTTTACGCAAGAAAGCACCGTCACTTGGTCCATTTAATAAAGGGTGAACTGGAGCACTGGCAGCAAAATAAATTACCCAAGATCACTTAAGAAACTGCACAGGGGCAGGAGCTGGGTTTCCAGTAACGCACTGGCCCCGCTCCCCTGCCTCCGCTTCCCCTGTGGTGGCTGCCCCGGCCCCCGGGCTGGTGGCCGTGAGAACCGGTGCCCCTTCAGCGCTGCCACGAACCTGCCGGGCAGCGAGAAGGGCCTGTGGTACGGTCGTGGTCCAGGACTGCCTTCGCTTGGTCTGGTTTAAATGACATTAGAAGCTTTAGTGTGAGGGGGAAGTACCAAACTGTGATAAAGCTGCCTCTTGGTGATGCTCTTACCTGGCTACTGAATTCATGGGCCACTTCTCAAAGTGCTGGCCACCAGATTCAACATTTTGCCGTCCTGAAATGTTACATTTCTTTGCATTGTACCATTATTCAGGAAATACTAAAAGCTGACTGATCTGTTTGTAGCTAGTGATGTGGATGCCTCTGTGTTGCTAAGGCTAGAGGAAGAGTGCAGAAAATCCTTTGCAATTAAAAACGCTCAAGTAGTATTTTGTGATTCATGTTTCACTCAATATTGGCATTTTTATATAGTGGGCCACATTTTACTTTCATTTATACCTACACAGAAATAACTATTCCCTCAGTAATTCCAGAGAGAGTAGTTTGTCCTGAAATTTTGGCAGGGGCAGGTCCTGCAGTGACCCCGGTCCAGGTTTAACGTGAACGTTCTGGCCCCAAACCAAGTTTTGGGGCTGTGGTTTCTGCTGCCCAGCCCGACTTGGCTGCAGCCAGGGCCTCTCCTCAGGGCATTGCTGGCCTTTCTAGGCCAGTCTAGGTTTTGCATTTCGGTGCCGTGTCTAAGATGACAAGACCTGCTCTTGTAAAGGTCACAGTTTATCTGTACTGGCTCAGATGGGGCTCGGGGCGGCAGGTTGGTCCCGCATTGCCGTGGGATCTGCTGCCTCCCCTCCTCTCAGGAAGGCAGAGGATGCTGGTTCTGGGAGCTCCGGTGGGCACAGCAATGATTAAGAAACCCAGGTGCTGCTGGATACCAGGGAGCAATAGCGAACCCCAGCCGTTCCCCCCAAAATCCTTGGGAGGTTTTTATAAAAGAGGGCTGTGGGGTTTGGTGTGGAGGGATCAATTCATGTTGCACCCTAAATGGGCCAGATAACAATTGCTATCATAGCCCAGGGAAAGGTGAAGCAATGAACATGTTGGGGTTTTGGGGTTGTCTTTTGTTCTGTATTTTTGGGTTTGTGGTTTTTTTTTTTTTGGTCCTGTGTCATTGGGCCAAAGGGCTGCATTTGGGGCATTAGGGATTTATTCTCACCTGCCTGTGTGATCTTGGCAACTCCTTATTTGCCTTGATATCCTCGGCTTCATCTCTAAAATTGGGTTTTATTGCTTGAGCTGAGCTGCGTGTTTGTTGGCTCTGTGGTGGGACTTGTAAATTCCTTCCTGGGCATTAAGAATTGCAAACAGCAAGTGGGCAATTGCAAACAAAAGAAATTCCCAACCAGAGCTCCTTAGAGCTCCCAGCTGCTGTATTTTTAATCTTTTCACCGTTTCTGAAGGTTTGTATTAAATGGGTTTGGGAAATAAGACTGAGAAATATCCTCCTGCTAATACTTACTGTCCATGTCCAGGTGCCACTGCCAAAGCAGCTGGAGTGAGCGACCGGACTGACCGGAAGAAAACAACTTGGAATAAAGACTATTCAAGTTTTGCTTACAACTGTTTCAGCAGATGTTTTCTGCAGAACCCAGGTGGTATATACGACTCTTTGGGAACAAAGCTTGCGATACACACTTTTGTAAGTGTGGTGAAAACGGCTGGCATGGGAAAAGTCAGCGCTAAGCGTTTCCATCAGGTATCAAACAATCCCGGTGCCATCTGTCTGCCAAGAGGATTTGAGGCTCCAGTTTGTTGTGGGAGGATTTTTCTCAGAGGCATCAATAACCTTGTCTTTCTAGTTTGCCAGCAAACTATTTTGCTTCCACGTTGTCTTTCTGCTGCCGGATTCTGCAGGAACATGCTGTGCTTTATCTTATCTTTCTTTTCACACACATGCTCCTTTATTATTCTCTTTGTCCATGAGAAATGTCTCTGGTTTCCATGTATACAGCTTCATTTTTTAGGCTAAGGAAACAGAAATGAAATAAAGCTCTCTCCGTAAGGTGTGTGCAGCGCTTCCATGGCTAACGAGACGCTCACAGAACAGAACGACCACTCCGGTACATCAAACCCCTCACCTTGGTGGTTTCAAGACACCTTTAGTTGGTATTGTACCTGATCAGCATATAAAAGATGATGCCATGCTCTATTTTGAGAGCTGTAATCTTCATTCCCCACGATTCACCTCTGTCCGTGATGTAATCCTTAATTACAGCCACCTCGGAGCGCACTGAAATGCCCTTTCAGGGCTCTCTCCACATGGCTCTGAAGCGGCAGGAGGATGAGCCCTGCCCCTGTCTTCGCCAGGGACTTAAGAACCTCATCATTCCTCCTGGCAGGGGGGATGAATAGCACATGCCTTACCCCTAGCAGGGCTGGATACGGTGGGTTTAAACCTGCATATACACAACTTAGTTTTTCCTTAATACTGCTGTGAAATTTTTTTGTCCTCCCCTTTTTTAATCACACTAGATTTTTTTTTTTTTTTTTTTTTTCAAGCCTTTTTTGTAAAGCAGCTACAGGTAAATCACAGTCTTGTGGAATACACAAGAGACACTTCGTTCTGGGCAGGTTGTTTGTTTTGGGTGGTTTTTTGTTTGGTTGGTTTTTTTTCCAAGAAAGCCATGTAAAGCTATAAGACATGAGGCAAGAAGAAAACCTTTCCCTTTGCTAACACGCAGCTCCCCTGCCTTCCTGTGGCTGATACCCTTGCGCAGAAGGCACAGCTCTGCAGCTCCTGGCAGGGTTTCCGTCAGGTGAGCTTCTCCTTGCTCCTGCCTGTATCTCTTAGCTACCTTCCCCAGGCAGCTAAATCCCAGTCCCACCCTGCTCCCCCTGCCCACATTTATTTAATAGCTGTAGCATCAGCAATGTCCAGGACCTCTTTGAATCCAAGGTAGCCTTCACCATCATCAGTTCCAAGTTTTCATTTATCCGGGTCCTTTTTGTATCTATCACCTGGTCTCTTTCAATTCTCCATCTTCTGAACTTGTAAAGCTCCTTCTCAGCTCTGCTTCTGTCTGCTATTGTAACACCACAGACTTGGGAAACCTGGCTGATGTATTGCTTAAGACATAGCAAGTAGTTTTTGAGTATGACCTAAGGGGGAGGGAAGAGCTATTTCTGCCTGGCAGAGACGTAAAAAAGGAAGTAACATTTTCATTGCCCCCGTTTCACACAGCCCTCTCTTTTTGTAAAGGACAGAAGTAGGAAAAAGAAGGAACTTGGTACTTTTAACCAAGCCCTCACGTGGAGCAGGGCACCAAGTGACAAGTGCAAAAGGCAACTCACCCAGAAGCTCTTGGATTTCAAGGCCAGGCTAGAGCAGCTAAGGCTTCAGCAGTTAGGACCGGGAGTAACAGAGGAAAGTAAAATACAGTGGTTTATGATCTACAAGTCAAGCTGCCAGGCAGAAATTACTGCTCCACCCAGAAGCAGCTGACACGTATTACCAGGCTACACACAGCAGGACCTGTGAAGCCCTGCTCTGATCCATGTTCACCCCACTGAGCAAGCTCTGGAGTGATCGCAGGCAGAGGGAGGCAGCCAGATACACAGCCTGCACTGCTAGTCTGACTGCAGCAGAGCTGGCTTCCTAGCCCTGCTGAAGGCACAGATCCCTGTAATCTTAGTAGCAGAAATCCTTCCTAGGTAATTAAAAGAAATTTAAAATCCCAGTAGAGTTATGTAAGAGACTGCACAAACAGCATGAACAAATGCTGGAGTACTCCAACCTCTGCCAAGAAGCCTTTGTAAGGATGCAAGAGCAAGGCTGTAGC